CTTTCAGATTCAGAAGAATCGCCGCCATTGTCAGGAACCGTGCAAATGGATATATTTTGCTCCAACGTAACGTCTAATTTATGAATTTTAGGAGCTATATAGTTTTCTAGAATCAGGGAGTGAATTAGAGAATTTTGGACATAAAATGCACAGGACGCATTGTAAAAACAAAATTTTGATTTTCGTGTATTATATACAATTTACAATTTTCATACAATTTTCGTAAACTATTTGGATATACATTTTGAACTAGGTCCAGAAATCGAGGGAGTATTTACAATATATTATTATTGAACAAGGAATATACAAAACTGGAAGATATGAGGGAAACAAGGTAAAACAAGAAGATATGAAGGAAAGGAGGTAGAACGATGGTGAGAGTCTTTAAAGCCATATTTCAATTCGCGATGCTGAAAATTTCTTGTCACATTACACTTCATTTCAGCGAAAAATTAATTAATTAATAAAATTAAATTTGATTAGATTTTGCAACAAGGAACTACTATTTCTGGCTCAATTGGACTACATTTTGCAATTCGGAATTATAATTTCCGGCTCAGTTTAGAAACAACGTATGTACCATCAGTTTCCTTATGCACCTACGTGTTTTTACAGATAAGCCAGAAATTATAGTTCCGAATTGCCAAATAGTCCAATTTAGAAAGAATGCATGTGTCATTACTTTTTCCACGCACGAAGGTGCTTTCATTTGGATGAGGCAGGAATAGTAGTTCCATATTGTAAATGTTAATCAATTTATTTTAATTCCTACGGTTCTCTCTTCATATTAAATCTAAACTGCATTAGAGAAATGCGTGAACCCTTACCGTACATTTTCAAAATTTCTGATTATGCACTGATAGAAATAGCGAGGTGACGTTTGGAATGCGTTTCAATACGGAGCCCTTTTCGCCTCCAGAGAATCGAGTATTATAAAAAGGAGTGACATTCCTTACTCAAAAGATCGGAGTTATGAAGCATCGCAATCGGAGATGTACTTTCGCGACTTCAGCTGCAGATGTTTCGAAAGGTGTCCGTGATTATATCCTGAATTCGGTTTTCTGTAGGAAAAGAGGAGAGGAGATTTTGGAACATCGGAATCCGTGTAACATGTGCTTTTTGACTTGCACCATCGATGAAGGAAGGAACACTGAATTTATATTAACCGAATGCACAGGAACTTGAGGACGAGCTATACGCATGAGCATCGGGCATGACGGCCTGGTCAGCGTGGTAGAAGAAATCCGAGTACGTGCTGTATTCTTCGTAGATATTTGGCATGAGGTTGATGCTTGGTATCATTGCAGAGGTAGAGTTGAAATCCTGAAAAGAAGAAAATTATATTACGCTATAGTAAAAAGATTTCCTTAGAAATTTTAAAACCACTTAGTGCGACACACCAGTGGCGTAGACAATAGGAGGGGCTAGGGGTAGGGGCTAGGCTAAAGGGGGGTCCAAAGACCCCCCTTTAGCCTAGTTAATTGTACTTTTTTTTTACTTTTGAAGACATAAAATATTAGCAGGGACGTACACAAAATAATGTAAATTTACCGTCACGGACATATGTTCCATCAATTTCAGCAGAAAAAATACGTTTATTTTTTTAATTTCAGCAATGAAGACTTCCGAACTGTTGTATTCAATTGATCCGGAAAATTGTTCTTACTTTAAATCTACATGGTCGCTTTACATGCCCCACAAGTGCAAAAATCGTTTCTTTCTTACACTATCTGTGCCTTAGAGTGCGGGTTGTAAATGGGTCAGTTTGCGCTGGTCACTGGTCATAGAATCATGTTTTAATGTCTAAAAATTATAAGATTCCGTCCAGACAGCAACTTTCAATACATTGAATATTAACCGAGATAAGTATCGCGCTTTGGATAATTCGGTTTATGACGGCGTCCACCGCGGTAGTGACACCCTTAGTTTCTTACACCTTGCTTTCATCCAAGTTTCACGTTGAGTGGCCAGCGCAAATGTGTGTCTCCCTGAGCCCTGACTGATGAAATTAAGGCGGGAGTAACCAAGGATCCCACTACCCTTGATGACGTCATAAGCCGAATTTTTCAAAGGGCGATAACTCGGTTAATATTCAACCAGTAAGTTGCTGTTAGGACGGATCTCATTATTTTTAGCCTATCTACAAGAATCAAGCATCAAAACACGATTTTGTGATCAGCGCAACGACTCATTCAAGTCCCTGAAAAAATGGGAATATTTTTCAGTGGCATGGAGTTAAACAATCTTACATATTTTTTATTTGACTTGTGGAATCTTGTACCGACGCAAAGTGGATCGAGTCAATCAGAGAGGTTGGACATAAAATTGTTGACTAAAATCGCAATCGTCACATTTTAAATTATAAGGGGTCAGAGGCAGATCTAGCAGTTTGACAACACCGGATTCCTTCCATATAAACCTATGTTAAATAAGCGATACTTGTCGGAGCACCTGATCCAGCGTTCTGATTATTGAAACTGATAGACAAATCGATAGACAAAGAAGACATAGGGACTATGGAGCAATCCTATTGGTTGAAATGGGTGGTTCTTATAGAATAAGGGAGAAACTTATGGACTTACTGTCAGGTTTCTCGTGGGCTTCCGTTAGTTAGTCTATTACCTACCGCCTTTGTCCATTGCAAACACTCGCTTCCACCAACAGGATCCCTCCATATCCATGTTGCCTTCTTTGTCTATACCTTCATATCTATCACTTTCAACAATCGGCCCGATGTCCCCTTTAAGAATCGATGTATTTCCGCAGGTTTAAATGGAGAAACACAATGTTGCCAATTTGCTGGATCTGCCAATGTAAGGGGTACTTCTAGCAGAAAATTTGACGAGGAGACCATTGGAACTACCTTTAGAGTTTCAAAATTTTGTATAAACGGAGTTATAAGCTGTTAAAATTTCCCAATTTTGTCCGAGCTCTACTCGCTCTACCGTGAGAGGTGGAATTATTTAGTTGATACTCACGGGTGGCGGGACGGAGCTGGAGTCAACGTAGAGATCGGACGAAATTTCGAAACTCAGACAGCTTATAACTCCGTTTATACAAAATTTTGAGGCTTTTAAAGTAGTTCCATTGGTTTTCTCGTAGAATTTCCTTCTTGAGGTAACCCTTATAATTTAAAATGTGACGAAATAATAATCAAAATTTGCAATTTTAGTCAACAATTCGATGTCCAATCTCTCTGATAGACACGATCCACTGTGCGAGGTGGAAGTATTTAGTTGATACTCACGGGTGGCGGGACGGAGCTGCAATCAACGTAGAGGTCGGACAAAATTTGGAAACTCAGAAAGCTTATAACTCCGTTTATACACAATTTTGAGGCTCCAAAAGTAATTCCGTTGGTTTCCTCGTAAAATTGTTTTTTAGAAGTACCCCTCATAATTTAAAATGTGACGAAATAATAATCAAAATTTGCAATTTTAGTCAACATTTGATGCCCAATCTCTCTAATAGACATGACCCACTGTGCGACGCAGAAGCATTTAGTTGATACTTACGGGTGGCGGGACGGAGGTGTAGTCGACGTAGAGGCTGCCGTTGGAGTCGGCGTACTCGGGGTCGAGGCGGGGCCTCTTGGTGGGGCGGTGGTAGGCGGCGGCGGCGCGGCGGGGGACGGAGGCGGGGGCGGCGGCGACGACGGGGGCGCGGGGCACCTTGGCCCCCTGCTCGACGGCGATGAGCTCCTCCGGGTAGAACTCCGTCTTGGGGAGCCGCCCCGCGACCCCGTGGAGGGCCAGACTCGAGGGCCCGCTCGAGACCGAGGAAACAGAGGAGACGGAGGAGAGGCCGCTGATGCTCGAGTCGCTCTGGTCCAGCAGCTTCTCGCTCGAGCCGGACACTGTCAGACAGTATTCCCGGGCCTCCAAATCGCTGAAAATACACCAAAGTTCTCAGTTAATTAGCCCGGAAATCATAGGTATTTTGTAGTTTCCCGCAAGAACACTGAAAAAAAATCTCGGTGTATTTACTAAGAAAAGAGTAAAATTACCAAGAATTCAGGGTTCTATTTGATCCCAGTTTTTTCTTGGTAAAATTATTGAACTTTCTCGGTAATTTTACTGGACCTTGGTAAAAACGCCAATATTTTTAATCGACTGCGGTAGAATTACCGAGATAAAATGGCAAAGTTACCGGGAATCGATTACGAAAAAAAGTGGTATTCTTACCTGAAAGAAACAGTAAAAATACCGGTTTTTAGGTAAACTCACCAGTCTGTCTAGGTAAAATCGCCAATAATTGGTAAAAAAGTGAGATGGTGAAGGTACCAACGGACCTTGGTAAAGACGCCGAGAATTTTTTTTCAGTGAGAAATCCAACTCCAACCTAACTTGACTGCAATTCTGCCGTGTTAAGGAAGAACGCCGTATAAACATTCGAGAGTTGCCAAATTTCCCCGAGTAAAACATGTATTTTTGAAGGAAGTTATGTGTACCTTTCCTTGAAATTTTCCGATATTTTAGATTAAATTGGGAACAAAACTGTCTGAAAAATTGGAAGAAAAATATTCAGAATTTTCTCAGTAAATAGACTTTGCAAGTGTCTGAAATTTGATGAATTTCGAGTTTAAGTGGAAACTACTGAGTGAACCTATGACGATACCCTTGGTTCATGAATTGAACGGTTATTGGAGAAGATATGACATAATGATCTAATCTGCTAGAGTACATGTGTTTAAATGGGAAATGCCGCCAGATGACGTCACTAAGCGGTGGAGCATTTTCTCACTTTTAAATCTATTTTTATACTATTTCCCATATCAAGAGAAAAATTATGAAAAATACTGCGAACTCAGCTCATTAAGCACTTTCAGATGAAGCAATAAAATTTAAGGCCTATGCAGTGAACTAGGCGTTGTTTAAATGACTTTTTAAAGTCTGATTAGTTATTGCGTTCCTGTATGGTTGCTAAACTCTGCTCATTTTTCTCTACAGTTTTTTTGATATTTGTACGAAAAATATGATAAATTGAAAATATTGAAATGAAGAGCTTACCTTAAGACATAATTTACACTGACGATACACAGAGGTCTGGAGGAGCGGCTATTGTGAACGATAGTCAGATAACTTTGCATCCATACCCACCCTCCATCCTTGGCTAGAAACCTATAGTATTTTGTAGTTGCTTGACCTTTACATAACACTGAAAATAAAAATAAAATCATGTAGCTTACAATTTTGAAAACAGAAAATAAATGGCGAAATTAAAATACTGTGAATTTTGTTTAAAACTGTTTCCTTCCATTTAAAAATCTCGGATTATGTTATACATTTTTTTTTTTTTTAAGAAAACGAACGAAAAGGTGTTCTTAAAATTTTCGGGGAAAATCTTCGAATAAAGTGAAGAAAAGTCATGATGGAAGAAGTGCTTTTGATTTTCCTTCTCGTTTTGTTTTTCAAATACATTTTTTTTCGCTGACATCAAGAAAGAATCGAAGTTTCTGAGACAGGTTTCAAAGTTCGAACATCTATGAATAATTATTTCTGTAGGTACTATAGTGTAAATGAGAAGTAAATACTCACATGTATGATGCGAGTACCTCATGTGCATCATGTCACTACCATGAATATAGTGATAAAGCGTCTTTTCTATAAGGTCTTGCGGTTCGTAACCGGTTAACTGTGTCACTCTGGAACAGAGAAAGAGGAGAAATATCTTTATTAGGATGACTTTATCGTGAAAGAAAAATTAACTGTTATTAAACTGAACGGGGCCGGATTAAGGGGGTGGCTACATGGGCCGCAGCCCATGGCGGCAAGTCTAAGGGGCGGCAAAAATTTGCAATTTTTTTATGTGTAGGTATAAAAAAAACGGATTTAGACAAAAAAAATTACAAACGAGAAAATGCGACGGAATCTCTCATTTACTGAGAGTATAGTAATTTCTAATTTTGTCGTCTCTTAGTGATGCAAGAGACAGTACCTTCAATTAGTCGAGTTAAGAGAGAAACCAAACACGGCATTTGACCTGGAACGGCGCGACTTAGAGAGAAATGATAACGAGGACTTGAGATGAAAAGGAGAAGCCCTCGGCGCGGCGATCGGCATGTAACACATGTTAGCGCCTACAAGACTGCACGAATACTTCTCGCATTGCATCAAACACAGTGCGGTCATTGCGGTCAGCGTGAAACGGATAGCGCCTACAAGACTGCGTGAATACTTCACGCATTGCGTCCAACACAGGGCGTTCAGCAGCGGTCGGCGTGAAACGCATAGAGAGACTGTCTGAATACTTCACGCTTTGCGCCAAACATGGAATGGCACATACGTTGTTTTTAAACCGGGCTAGAATTTATAGTTCCAAATTGCAAAATGTAGTCCAATTAGCCCACAAGGGCTAATCCTGCGCTTTAGCCCTGTCCCCCCTCCGTCCCTACAACCAGTCCCAGGCAACCACTGCATTGAAATCTGAAGATTGGCAGTGACATTTGACGTTTTCAAAGGTTGGCTGTCCTTTTGAGCCCTTGCAGCTCCATATTTCGCCATGTCCGTACTTTCCCTTTATAAGTGCTCTAATCGAAACCATTCGCTTCCACCACCTGCATCGCTCTAGTTTCTTTTCATCCCCTTTTTCCATACTGTCGTGCTAAGGAAGAACGCCGTATGAACATTCGAAAGTTGCCAAATTTCCCTTCATAAAACGTGTATTTTCGACGACACTCATGCACATTTTTTTTGAAATTTTCAGATATTTCAGATGAAATTGCGTACGAAATTGTCAGAAAATATTGGAAAAAAATGTTCACAATTTTCCCTGCAAATCGGTATTTCGTCACCTTCCAGGCAAAGTATCACAAGCGCCTTGCGACGTTTAAAAGTTTCCACCGCTATTTTATTTTTTTACAGAGAAATAGTTGGTTGTAGTTGTCCGAAAATTTCACTGAATTTTTTTTGTGCTGCCCATAAAATTCAGTGAAATTTTCGAACAGATTCAACCAATAATTTCTATGTAAAAAAATAAAATGGCGGCGTAAATTTGTAAACGTCGCATGGCGCTTGTGATACTTTGCCTGGAAGGTGACGATTTATCGAAGGAAATTTGGCAACGTCTGCTGGCTCATACGACGTTCTTCCTTAGCACGGCAGCATAGCTTTGACCATCAATTTTAATGAAAAGCTCGCGGGTGAAATTTTCCTCGGCGGTCGGGAAAGGCGACGGATGCACACGATAGGCGGAAGCGTGGCGCGAAATCCGGATTCCGGCGGGCAGCGAGTGCGCATTGTCGGGCGTCGGGAGAGATTAGATTGTTGGTGAAATGCGCGGGTAAACATGTGCAACTCAAACAATGGCGTGTGTGCGAATGGCGAGAGGAATAATCTCGACCGCATCCCCGGCCCCGACTCTCGATGCGCCGCGCTCCCGGAGTAGCCAAAAAGTGCCCGAAACGCAACCAGCGCTACACCGACGTCGATACCAAGTTTTCAGGGATACAGCAGCGGGCTGAAGGTTGAAATCGATATGCAAAGCGAGACAAAGGGAAAATGGAGCGATTCTATTGGTGGAAGAGGGTGCACTGGAAAAAAAGATTGGTAGAATTTACCATTCCTTCGCGGTTTATTTCACACAGCGTCATTTCAGAGTCAATTCTGCCAGAAGAAAGGTAAAATTTACTACATACTGGTACAGGTAACCATTCCTCTGGCAGAATCGACTTTGAATTCACGCTGTGTGAAATACAGCGTGAAGGAACGGTAAATTCTATCAATCTTTTTTTTTTTCAGTGTAATGAGTCGGAAAATCATCCCTCTTCTGAACTTAAAATTTTCAGGAGAAGGGGTGGTTTTAAAGGGTGAGTGAATATAGATTTTATTGAAGGTCAGCACGAAACGAGTGTTTTGAGGTACCAAGGCAGAACGTTCGGGAAATCATCCTTATTTCGGCCAGGAAATCTCGCTGGATCGACAGGACATCAGTGGCGTGGCGTGAATTGCGATATATCGATTGTTATGCCATTTAAACCTATGGTAAAGAATCGATTATTAAGGCGTTCGCTGCGAACACCCTGTTTATCGATCCTTTTCCATAGGTTTAAATGGCATAACAATCGATATATCGCAAAGCACGCCACGCCACTGCAGGACATGCAACTCTTTGAAGCGATCGGCCGTCTCCCGGGAATAGTAGAAACACTGTTTGAAATCAGGAAATTTCCTGCTGCTGCGTATTTTACAGGAAGTCCTGTCGATCCAACAGTTGGGTTCGTCAGTGTATTTTTTAGCTTCACCCCCTAGTCGAACCACCCCTTCTGTGTTGCTTCGATCTGGCAACCCTGCTCGCGAATCAAATTCGGGATCGGGACCCAGAGCGAAATGCCTGGAATTTAATTCCCTGAATCCACTCAAATACTCGGTGCGCTGAGCAGGGGACGGAGAAGGGGGCTGTGGGGGGGGNCCCTGCGGGAGCGACGGTGCAACGGGCGTCGCGACGCGGGTGTTGCGTCAGCTGATGCACTTCCCAAAGGATCAAATTTGTCAAACATTACTCTCCAGCACTTGTGCGTGAGCTCGTAGGATCGCTCTGTGTGCTGCACCATCATTCGAATGTTGTCGATTTTCCCCCGATGAAATGTTGATTTGGACGTATTTATGCCAAAAGGAACTATGTGCAAGTGGAAAGATGGGGTGTGCTCGTGGAAGCTGCGTAAAAAACAATGTAAAAGCGGATATCGACGGGGTAAGTCTGCAATAACATAACTCGTTTTGCGACGTCGCAGACTTCCTGTCATACTTTATTTTTTAAACGGAAAACTACTCAACGGCAATCCTTTGAAACTGCCGTGATTTTTCCTCTAAGTGCGAAGAAAATTCTGCAAAAACTTCAAGGAATGATGTCAATTTGTTTTCCTTTATAAAAATAACATAGAGGCGGAGATTTTCAGACACCGCAAACGAGTTTTCGAAGGCGTAAGTCCGCAATCACATATCTCGTTTGCGGTGTCTGAAAATCTCCGCCTCTATGCTATTTTTTTTAAGGAGAAGAAATTGACATCATTCCTCGAGGTTTATGCAGAATTTTCTTCACACAGAGAAGAAAAATCACGACAGTTTTAAAAAATTGCCATTTAGTAGCTTTCCGTTCAAAAAATAAAGTATGAAAGGAAGTCTGCGACTTCGCAAACCGAGGTATGTGATTACCGACTTACACCGTCGAATTATACTTTTGGCTTTTTTTGAACATCAAGAAAATTTCATCTCTAACACCACAGAATTTGAACCACAAGCTTACGATAATTCGTGCGCTGGCAAAGCTGTTCATCAAACAGCTCTTTTTAAAGAATACGTACTTGCATCAATTCACCGAAGGAATGTCCATGTACGTTTTTCTCCAAATACCCCGTTCAATTTAAATCAGGTTGAACAGAGCTGGCAAGTTAGGATACTTACTCTCCTACTTAACCCCCATGCAGCTCGCTTACTCTCTCCCGCGTAAACTGATACGCGGGTTTTTTTAAGCCCGTATTTTTAATTGCTCACGAGGGGCAACACCCTACGGAGGGGTGGGAGGGGGTGGGTTGGGGCACAGAGAGTGCCGTCCAAGACAGGACGCCTGGCTGTATATACTTTCATTGTTGCCAAACTGTTCAGTCTGGACCTCGTGTACTTGACAGCAAGAAACATGCTCAAATGAGGGTAACCTACACTGAAAAAAATGGTTACGTAGTGAGAGTCTATACTGATTGGAAAATCCGAGGTATGAGTTGCTGGTACATACGGTCTGGTTTTCATGACTAGAGCAGAGATGTGCCGTAAACATGTCGTGGATGGAAAAGCATGTGTATGAGCTCACCATTCATACGTTATGGACGCTGGGTCCATACGGTATGAAGTCAGGGTACATACTCTTCGTATGTAATATTTGTCCATACTATAATGGACTCTATCTCTATTCATAGGTCGGCATCAAATTTTTCACACTCTGTATGTGGCCCCGAGCCATAATTATGCAGCGTGAGTACATATCGACGGTGCAAGTCGGCAATCACATAACTCGTTTGCGGTGTCTGAAAATCTCCGCAACTATGTTATTTTTTTAAAGGAGAACAAATGGACATGATTCCTTGCAGGTTTTTGCAGAATTTTCCTCGCACATAGAAGAAAAATCACGGCAGTTTTAAGGAATTACCGTTGAGTAGTTTTCCGTTTAAAGAATAAAGTATGACAGGAAGTCTGCGACGTCGCAAATCGAGTTATGTGATTGCCGACTTTCACCGTCGATAAACTTTTTTCAGTGTAGAATAAAAGCGGTTTCCCGCATGTGGGTCTTATGCGGCACAGCGATCTACCTATGAAAAAATGGACTATCCACGAAATACATGCTTCATGAAAAATTACAGTCCATTTTTTGATCAGTCACGTGATTTGAAGCCGGTGGCGAGGCGTGAATGGTCGATTATCGATATTTTTCCATTTGAAGGTATGGTAAAGAATCGATTATTAAGGTGTTCGTCGCGAACGCCCCGTTCATCGATCATTTTCCGTAGTTTCAATGGCAAATCAATCGATCTATCGCAAGGCACGCTACGCCTTTGGTGTCCATGAGCAGTAGGCGCAAATAGGAGCAACAGGAGCAATTGAAGCAATATAGTGATATCACTATTCGATCACGTGGGCGCTCGTGTTGCCTACCATAAAAAATTGAAGGCGAACCCACAATGCCCGAAATCATTTCTTCGATTTAGGTAAAAATACCGGTACAGCCGTCTGTCGCCAAACTTTGAGATTTGGCCTTTGGCACTACACTGTCGTGCTAAGGAAAAACGCCTGGAGGTTCTTCAGACGTTTCAAAATGTCCTTTCATAAATTACGGATTGTAAACGGAAATGTTGGAAATATTTTTCAACCCTGTAAATCACGATTTAATCTAAAATGTCTGTTTATTCCAGGAAAAAATGTGCATATTTTTCCCTGGAATACATTTTTCAACAGAGGAAATTTATCACCATTCGAATGTTTATGCAGAGTTTTTCCTTAAAACGACAGCATGATAGATTTTCTGTATCTCGTCGATGAAAATAGGGACAAAATTCGTCCTTCACTGCCTAACAAGTTTACGCCCCTTTAGACTCCGACAAAAGATATGAAGTTGATATTTAACATGTAAAGTAAGTGGAAATATCAAGATGGCTCATCTTCTGTGGCAGTCTAAAAGTGCGTGAACTTTTTTGACACGGAATCTAGCAACGTTGCAGTTTTCTTGCCACATTTTTCAAATTTAATCGTTGTTATTTGAACAAAAGCTTCACTTTTCGGAGCTTTCACAGATCGTGATTACTTCATGTAGCATACATCGTGATAATTTTTATGGAAAAATTTAGATATTTTCAACATTTGAAATTTGACTAAACTTTAATTGAAAACATATAGAAATTATATTTATTCCCAATACTGTGAAAAACTTCAGAAAATATCGTCAATATTTCAAAAATATTTTTGAAGGTATTTCGTTCTAACTAGAAACGGAGAGTAATTAAAGAACTATTAAAGTTGAGGAAAACCTGTTGGAGCAAGATGAAAAAACATACGATGAAAACCAGAGAAAGATATGGAAGCTTACCTGGCATCCAAAAATATTAATTTAAAATCTAAACTCGCCCGGAACATAAACATATTAGAGTATAGTTTGATTTCCGTGACGGCCGTCGGTGGCAAAGAGTTCCCAAAGGCTACAAGTCCTAAATTTTGGTAGCAAGGTGCGTTTGGATCCATTGAAAAAGGCTTCACTTTTAAATACCCGGAACAGTGGATAACCTACAAAAAAAAATAAAACGCAACTATATTTCTAATCACCAACAGCAGAGAATATAAAAATTTAATCATAAGAATACAAAAAATACAGTCAATTACAGCTAAAACTTGTATCGGGGCAGAGGATTTTCTTCATTTGCTATGGCTCATCTTTCCTAATTATAGTGTTTTCGTTTTTCTTTTTTTCTTTTTCTTTTTTGCCTAAATAGAAACACCATGCGACATTTTGCCTTGAAATTTTTTGAGTATATTCTATTAAACGCAAGATAAATTCAGAGAAATTTTAAAAATGTAATATGATTTTATTCAGTTTTCTGCCGGAGATGTAGACCAAACAAGGCAACTGAAAATGGAGATAGGTTGTTGTTAGTTAAACCCGTCAGATTATTGTAGCCGAATGAAATAACGGAGGGTCAAACCCAGGCAGGGCCCGGTTTGGGACTTGCGTTAAAAAAAACCTCAAAGAAAGGGAACTCCAGGTGCTATCAGCGCCATTTTGTCCCGCGGGGTCGCGGTGGAGGAGCGAGAGGGAGGCCCACGGTGAAAATCGGCGATCCGTGCGGCGCACAGGGGATCGAGTCAATAGGAGAGCTCGGAAAAAATTTGGAATTTTTAAACGCTTATAACTCCGTTCATACAAAACTTTGAGGTTCTAAAAGTGGCTCCATTGGTTTCTTCGTGAAATCATCTTCCAGACGTACCCCGCAAAATTTAAAATGTGACGAAATAAACATAAAAATTTGCAGTTTCAGTTAAAAATTTCAGGCTCGACCTCTCTAATGGACCACTAGACAAGGTACGAATTTCAGCATTCTGATACATGTTTCTCAACCAAAATTTCACGTAGAACACGATACGCACAACGAAAATTACCAAAATCAACTCCTGACGAAGATATTTAATGATTCTTGATGCGTGAATTCAAACCACCCGCTCATGAAAACTCAATGCTCTACGTGATTCACATCGCGCGCTAAATGTTTATCATGACAGTCTTTCTGCGATGTAAAAATCTTCAACTTTAATCTTGACACTTTGGCTCAGCTATAGCAAATTACCAATAGTTTGAACAACACATGGTGGAAAATGAACATTGCTCGATTGAGAAGCTTACTGAAACCGTTGTAGTGGGCGATTTGACTCACGTATAGAGCTTTGAGTTTCTTGTGAGCGGGCAGTTCAAATTCCTCGTAATTAGTGCGAAATAAACACGTTAATATCTTCGTTAGAAGTTGATTTCGGTAATTTTCGTAGTGTGAATCGTGTTCTACGTGAAATTCTGGTTAAGAAACATGTAACAGATTGCTTAAATTCGTACCTTGTCTAGTGGTCCATTGACTGGATCCACTGTGCGGCGCGGCGCGTTGTCGGAGGTGCGCTGGGCCGTCACAATGCGAAAGGTATCTCTTTTGTGGGCCCTGACATCCTCTCAATGGGCGGTTCTCGATTGATAAAATGGAGGAGCATGACCGGGAATTCATTAGGGGGTTTCTCTTCCCGCGGCGCGGCGCGGGGCCAACCGCTTTCCCTCCCGTGCGATGTGCGCTAAGCTGCGGTGGTGCTACGAGGAAAAACGCCGTATGCCACACTCGAATGTAGCCAAATCACCCTCCTGACAAAAAGTATTCTCTTATTCAAATTATAAATATTCTGCCTTCAAATTTCCAAAAGTGCTCGATTATTGGGAGTGAAATTCTTTCATAGGCGGATCCAGCACTGGAAAAAAAAAAACACATTGGATCTAGAGTCCAGACTCTTAAATACATCGACAAGAAAAAGTACTCTTGATACAATCATATTTAAGCTTAAATCAAAAGGAAATACGCTCAAATTAAGAGGCTTGGTTCTTGATTTAAGCTTAAATCTGATTGAATCAAGAGTCCTTTTTCTTGTCAGTGTTTTCAAGAGTCTGGACTCTACATCCAATGTGTTTTTTTCCAGTCAGGCACTTTCAACGGGGGAGGGGGTCGGAGGGGGTCTGAGGGGCTTCCCTCAAATTTTTGAAAGTTCAAAGTATCTAAAAAGCAGTTTGAGTCAATTTCGTCATGAATAATTACCAAATACAAGCACTCTAGTTTCTTCTTTTCTCCGTCCCCTGTTCCCTCTCTTCCCCCTTTTACTTATACTCCTTTTGTTCGGGCAAGGGGGGAGGGTACGGCCCCCTCCTGGAGCCGCCTAAGAATTCTTTGAACAATAAATTGAGGGAGAAAACTCATGGATTTTCCGGAAAATTAGTATGATATCAGAGAAAATTCGGCAGCGTTCGAGGGTTTTTCCGCCGTTCTTCCTCAGCATGACGTGACGGTGAGCTATCATCAATATATGTATATATATTATAATATTATAATATTATATATATATATATATATATATATATATATATATAATATTAATATAATTATATATTATAATATATATTATAATAATAATATATACAAATATATTATAATATATATTATAATAATTATAATTATAATATTATTATATATATATTATAATATATATATTATGGATCCTCCCGCGTTTAAAAATCAAAAATATTTAATAAGAATCCATACTCAGAGTGAAAATCGGAGAACGTCATCGTCCCCGATATAAAATAATTTGTTTGAATCTTTGATTTAGAAAAAAAAAAGAACATATATAATTTCTGAGACGGCAAAATATTTTCGACTTACGCTTGACTCTAAATCATGATAGAAACAGCATATTCTTTTAAAAAAAAATTGAAAGCAGAGAATGCAAATAATGTTATTGCTATGGACAAAAAAAACCTAGGAAGTATGGAGCGATCCTTTTGGTTGAAATCAATGGTTCCTATAGACTGAGGTAGAAAATTATGGGTGAAATATCGGGTCTCTAGTGGGTTGCCGTCTGTTAGTGTATTACCAACCTATTTTGTCAATTGCAACCTTTCGCTTCCACCAGTAGGATCCCTCCATACCCCTTTTGTCCTCTTTGTCTATGGCTTTGTCTATTAATTGCAATATTCGGCCTGTTGTTGGGCAGTATATTAACCTTACGCGTGCGCTGACGAGTATACTCGTCAAATGCGGCGAATGGGTTAAATCGTTATTGCAAGCCAACAACTGCCGGTATTGCAATCTTCTTCTTGTCTGAGCTTTTTTTTTTTTTTTTTTTTTCGTCCAGCACCAGCACCTTCATATAACCATCTTCTCCGGTCTCGCAACTGAAGGCGCTCATGGTGAGTATAGGTGATTTTAAGAGATTTATTACGAGGATGATTTGAGGCTTGTTGCCATTCTGTCAATTTGAACGATGACATTGACAGAAGGTAAACATTCTTGTTTGCGAACCCGATTATATTCTGTCGTCTCATATTTTTCTTCGGGTTAATGTCCTCCGATTTGCGGACTGCATGGGTCATCCCATTCTCCACCACCATTCTCAAGAAACCAAACTAAACGCCACTCTCAAGTGGCCAACTCGATGATTGTTAGAAACTGAAATTCACACCATTGAAAAAAGGGGAGTTAGTTTTCATGGATTCATACCTTGTGACCTGCCGTTGTAAGTCCGGCGTTTCTTTTTGCTAGCACACATTTCATTCTGAGGAAAAATACCCTTTCAATTTCTATATCCTCTGAAAAAAAAGAAAGCACAACACATTTCTTAAACAAAATCTTGAGAAATATATTTACAAGTGCAAATCGTAGTTTTTTGTTCATCAACAGAACGGTTTCAACGCTCATGCCTAAGGAGGAAATTCAAATGGCGTTACGTACATTATGAGTAGGTACCCGGTACCTATGTCTTGCCATCGCAGGATTAGATACAATTTCAAGCAGGACTGGCCCACTCAAGTTGCAGGTGACACCAATTGATCAATTAATGCTAATGTATATTAAATGGACATTTTATATAGCTAAATTTAAAGGGATGGGAAAAAAATTTTGTTTGAAAAAGGAAAAATTTACCTAAAGGAGGGGAGCTAAACTTTTCAAAAATGTCTTTAATACTTTAAAATTGATCAAAGAAACAAAATATCATCGAAAATTTGGTTGACTCTGAAACAGATGAGAGAGGGAGGGGAAGATTTGCCCACCCTATCATCACCTGATGATACCTTTGACTTCACTGCTCACAATTTCAAGCAGGACTGGCCCACTCAAGTTGCAGGTGACACCAATTGATCAATTAATGCTAATGTATATTAAATGGACATTTTATATAGCTAAATTTAAAGGGATGGGAAAAAAATTTTGTTTGAAAAAGGAAAAATTTACCTAAAGGAGGGGAGCTAAACTTTTCAAAAATGTCTTTAATACCTTAAAATTGATCAAAGAAACAAAATATCATCGAAAATTTGGTTGACTCTGAAACAGATGAGAGAGGGAGGGGAAGATTTGCCCACCCTATCATCACCTGATGATACCTTTGACTTCACTGCTCGCTTAACACAGAATATTAACAAAAAGCAAGTTTGGTTGAAAGTTTCTAGGAAAATGACGATCATTAAGATTACTAAGCGGACAAAACATTCTCTTAAGCGTTAAAAAATGTAACCATTGAAAGATTACTTAAAATGAGAATATGCCCTCACTGAAGGAGTGCGATGGAATGAATTGTTAAAAATGGGACACATCCCACACATACACACTTATAAGTATGCTAATTCATTGAAATCGTACGATGTTCCACGGTTAATTTAAGAAATTAAACGGAGTGCGTCGCCACCAGGGGAAAAGTTAATTTTAGAAAGCATACGTACCATGACAATGACTTTGATGAGGAGGGATAATTGGTTGATGTAGAGTTAAAACTGAGGTCATTTCTTCGTGGTCGGAAGGATGAATGTATTCGAAGATACTATTTCCAGTTAGTTCCACCTGAGAAATAAGTTCCAATCCATGAGTATTGATTTTTTTTTAAAAAAAAGAAAAATAACTTTCATGTTCAGGCATGGAAAATAAAATATTTAAAAAAAAAATGGGAAGCTTCTTGTGTACTTCTACCTCTCAAATCTATTATCAAATGGATAGTTCTTTTTTTCTTTTCTTTTCTTTTTTTTTTTTAAAAAAAAAAATCTGTTTTGTGGCATTTTCTTTTTAATCTCCGTTGAGCCCACATCGGGTCCCACATTGAAAAAAAAAAAAAAAAATTCCTCCCAACATTTTACAAAGAGAAATTTCAACTATCTTCAGGAAAAATGATATACTTAAATTAATGGATGCACGCTATGAATACCTAAATCTGAATATTAGGTAAGAGTTAGCTACTGACCTGTGATAGTCCTAATTGCACGGAAGCAGTCTCTGATATGTACATTATTTTTCCGTCTGGGGAAACTACAAAAATAAAGCCTTCTAACGTCTGTAAAAGAAAAAAGGAGGGAACATTCATTAGGATTATATATGTTACGCACAGATCGTGTAATTGCCCAATTCATGAAATGGGCAGATTTTTGCCCATTTCATGAAATGAGGCAGGGATTTGCCCAATTCACGCATTGGGCAAAAAATGAAAAAACGCTCACGCTCAATTTGTGTAATTGCTCAATTCGTGAACTGGGGCACAAAAATATTGAAAGTAAGTACTGAAAAAAGTATACCCCAAATAAATCATGAGATAATTCACAGACAAAACGAATCAGGGTTTTAATCGTAAAAATAATGTGAAAAGTAAATGAGGGTCACTGATTTTAAATGGTTTCTTGGTTTTACAGGTTAAACGGCCGTTTGAAAATGCACTTACTAGGTATTTTCCAGGATCGAGTCATTTCAATGAATCAATCAAGAAATATGATTGCATCGCATAGTCTTACGGCTGCATTCTCTGGCAGAAAAATTCGAGGGGGCCAAATGGGTACATCTTCAGTTTCTGATGTAGGCAAAAAATCTAGAGCTTGCTGTACCCTTGCTTGCGCCTTTCTGTACATCTGTGCGACGCGCTTGAAATACTTTGAATATAACTTCGAATGATTGAAATTGTATTTCACACAAAAAGGCATCGCTAAATACATTCACGAGTCAAGTGAATGCAACGTGCCTCTTTCATTGCTGAAAAGATGTTGCAATTAGCCGAAATGAGATTGAATAAAACTCTTGATACTCACTTGTAAAATATTTGATCCTAATTCTTTGATACTAGATTCTCGTGGGTTGATAGGAGTTGGTGCGGAGCCCCATGCGTCACCGAGACCTAAAACACATTAATAAAAAAATTTATATTTATATATTTTATTCTATTTCTCTCATTCTTGTATGAAATGTTAGCAAAGCTCCTGGTCGTCCGACCAAACTCACTCCAGCCTATTTTTTTTTTTTTTTTTTTTTTTTTTTTTTTTTTTTTTTTTTTTTTATTGCTGGTTTATTGGCTTATGTTCCGTTGGAACCTACAGCCATCGATAGACAGTATTTATTGTCCTTAGACATCTATAGGATCTGGGCACATCCATGCTCCAGGCTTTCAAATTTTCAGGGATTAAGGCCGGGTGGAATCTGTTTCTGCAGATCCACTCGTCAGTTCCATGAAAATTTGTCGCCACCAACGGGATTCGAACCCGGGACCTATTGACCTAGAGTCAGACGCGCTAACCACTAGGCCAACCTGGCCGGCTCAGCCTATTTTAAGTACAAATGAAATTACCCTCTTATTTCATCTCTCATACAAAAAAAAAAAAAAAAAAAAAAAAAAAAAAAATGTACTTGGCTCAAGCATGATGATTCTTGAATTTGCCGCCAAGAATTTCATTTATCTTGATCTAGCTGAAATTTTTCCTGATACAAGAAAAAAATTCTCAGGTTAAGCAAAATAGTAGTTTACATGAAGCAGCAAAATTCTTGATTCAAGAAAAAATACTTCTTGGCGGCAAATTTAAGATTCCTTATTTTTCAATGTGCACCTTATATTTTTGTAGAGAAATTTATATAATGTATGGGTGTTTTGAGTATTTGACGAATGCAATTCGATCAGCTCTATGCTTAGTCTCGTCGTATATTCTACCTTTCTAAAGAAGAGCGCTGTATGAGCATTTAGGAGTTGCCAAATTTCCTTCGATAAAATGTTCATTTTTTTGGAAAGATATGAAGATTTTGTTTTGAAAGTTTCAGGAGCTTTCGGTAACATTGCGAACAAACTTATCTGAAAAATTGGAAGAAAAATATTCATATGTTTGCCAGGAAATTCGCGTTCTCTTAAAGGAAATTTGGCACCGCCTGAAGGTGCATACGGCGTTTTTCCTCAGCACGACGGCAGTATTGGGTGGCTCGGTGCTCGATTTCAAGACATGAATGAAGCAATGGTCACATCTTGGTCGACAGGATGCATTCACACTCTTCAAGCTCCAGCTGCAAGATCCCTGAGCGGCATCTCATCAAACGCGTGAAATACGATTTTGCAAATTTCGATCGGGATCCTCTGCGCTGCGCTGCGAGGACGAGCGGTCGGCTCGAGGAAATCGAAAACCTCGCATCCGCACCGAGTTTTCCCGGGAGATACGCGGTTCTGCAAAATTGGATCGGGGACCACGTGCAGGATTTAGAGGAGCGCGCGGCACTTTTCAACCGGAATCAGTGCGCGAGAAGCTATAAAACGGAAAATCGATGCTCAACTGATTCGCTGATGGCCTCACCCGTTTGGAATAATTTACGATGCCGTTCCTTCCTCCTCCTCCTCCGCCCACGATAAAATTACTTTTACGACCCTGCCAAGTGCGTGTCACAAGCCAAACATCTCGCGTGCTTGTCCGAAATAATTCAGTCGGTTTTCGTCAACCGCGCGCAATGAGACACACCACCCCGGTAACACTCGAATATTGTTGGTAAGAACCGCTCAAAATAGTTCCTGAAACGACTTTCCATTTTCCAACAATTTTCGAGGAATTCGCCCCCCCCCCCTC